CATGTGTCAGTGTCGACATGTGTGACCCGCTCTGCCGACATCTTCGGTCCATTACAGAGGTGGCTAAGTACAAAAGAAGATATGCGGAGGGAAATACGCGATGGTCAGTCCCTCAACCTTGAGAAATGTTCAGTGTGTCAAGACTGACAGACTGACCACCTCATGTTAGATAAAAGTGCACATGTACAACTCATGCCATATTTTATTGTGGCAACGTTTCGCTCTTGAGTTTCGTTAAGCCATTACACACAGGTTTGACTTGATTGATTCGTCAGGAACTGCGCCCTGCCAAGGGTCCTTATCCTGGGTGGCTAACACTCCCTACCCTGGGTTATCCTGGGTGGCTAACACTCCCTACCCTGGGTTATCATGGGTGGCTAACCCTCCCTACCCTGGGTTATCCTGGGTGGCTAACACTCCCTACCCTGGGTTATCATGGGTGGCTAACCCTCCCTACCCTGGGTTATCCTGGGTGGCTAACACTCCCTACCCTGGGTTATCCTGGGTGGCTAACACTCCCTACCCTGGGTTATCATGGGTGGCTAACCCTCCCTACCCTGGGTTATCCTGGGTGGCTAAAACTCCCTACCCTGGGTTATCCTGGGTGGCTAACACTCCCTACCCTGGGTTATCATGGGTGGCTAACCCTCCCTACCCTGGGTTATCCTGGGTGGCTAACACTCCCTACCCTGGGTTATCCTGGGTGGCTAACACTCCCTACCCTGGGTTATCATGGGTGGCTAACACTCCCTACCCTGGGTTATCCTGGGTGGCTAAACATCCCTACCCTGGGTTATCCTGGGTGGCTAACACTCCCTACACTGGGTTATCCTGGGTGGCTAACACTCCCTACCCTGGGTTATCCTGGGTGGCTAACACTCCCTACCCTGGGTTATCCTGGGTGGCTAACACTCCCTACCTGGGTTATCCTGGGTGGCTAACATCCCTACCCTGGGTTATCCTGGTGGCTAACACTCCCTACCCTGGGTTATCCTGGGTGGCTAACACCCCTACACTGGGTTATCCTGGGTGGCTAACACTCCCTACCCTGGGTTATCCTGGGTGGTAACACTCCTACCCTGGGTTTCCCGGGTGGCTAAACACTCCCTACCCTGGGTTATCCTGGGTGGCTAACACTCCCTACCCTAGATTATCCTGGGTGGCTAACACTCCCTACACTGGGTTATCCTGGGTGGCTAACACTCCCTACCCTGGGTTATCCTGGGTGGCTAACACTCCCTACCCTGGGTTACCCTGGGTGGCTAACACTCCCTACCCTGGGTTATCCTGGGTGGCTAACACTCCCTACCTGGGTTATCCTGGGTGGCTAACACTCCCTACCCTGGGTTATCCTGGGTGGCTAACACTCCCTACCCTGGGTTTTTCCTGGGTGGCTAACACTCCCTACCCTGGGTTATTTCCTGGGTGGCTAACACTCCCTACCCTGGGTTATCCTGGGTGGCTAACACTCCCTACCCTGGGTTATCCTGGGTGGCTAACACTCCCTACCCTGGGTTATCCTGGGTGGCTAACACTCTCTACCCTGGGTTATCCTGGGTGGCTAACACTCCCTACCCTGGGTTATCCTGGGTGGCTAAACACTCCCTACCTGGGTTATCCTGGGTGGCTAACACTCCCTACCCTGGGTTATCCTGGGTGGCTAACACTCCCTACCCTGGGTTATCCTGGGAGGCTAACACTCCCTACCCTGGGTTATCCTGGGTGGCTAACACTCCCTACCCTGGATTATCCTGGGTGGCTAACACTCCCTACCCTGGGTTATCCTGGGTGGCAAACACTCCCTACCCTGGGTTATCCTGGGTGGCTAACACTCCCTACCCTGGGTTATCCTGGGTGGCTAACACTCCCTACCCTGGGTTATCCTGGGTGGCTAACACTCCAGATTAAAAATCCCAACAAAATCTAAGCAAGCTTTCTTCCTACACTAGACCCCTCAAAGAAGGTTCCTTGATGTTGGTGAGGGACTCTTGATTTAGGGAATTGGATCTGTGCTCCAAGTCCCCGAATTAAGCCTGAATGTCTTCCACATCCCGCCCCCCAGGCGCTGTATAATCCTCCGGGTTTAGCGCTAATAATCCTGCACTAGAACTAGTGGCCATTTCAGCGGATGTTCTCTTAGTCTAGGCTAAATAAGTCACGTTATCTGACTATTTTAGGTTATTCCAGGTTCACTACACATATATACTAGTATATATGATCATCTATGTAACTGTATTTATGTATATATGAATAAATTTACAACTTGTTCAACTAGAGTAGTATCCCCTCCAGCAGGTGTTCTGTCTATCTGTGTTCAGTCTGTCACTGATAGATGGTGACACTATCTATCACGAGTTGTTATGTTCCACCATGATCTATCTTTTTAGTTACAACTCTCTTATAAAATTTGGAAAGTTATATCGTAAGGTGGCTCTTTTGTGGTGAGTGAACTGTGGTGAATATTGTGCTGGGTTGAACATCCCGAGTGGTGGGTTTTGTTCATTATGGTGTTCATGTTGGTGGGGAATGTTGTTCATTATGGTTGTAATGGGTGAACAGTGGGTGGTATATATGGGGTAGGATCTCTGGGTTGTATATATGGGGTAGGATCTCTGGGGGGTTATTGGGGGGTTCGGGGGGTATAATGGGGTGGTTTGGGGGT